GGATAGGTCTAAAGCTATTTATCACTGCGGAATGAAATATTTCAGTCGACAGTGTTTTATTATAATTTGAAAATTATAATTTAATTTAAGTTTACATTGAAAATTAATTACGAAAAGTTCGCACAATTATGTTTTATCTGGTAAATTTAAGTTCCAATTGTAAATTAAAATTTACAATAAATTTTTATCTAATTATTAAATTAATTTTTTTTAATATTAATTAAAAAAAAAGTTTAAACAGTAGAATTCTGCATTTTTTGGTGCTTTTTTAGCATTTTTTTTAATTGATAAGGTTCAAAAATATTTTTTAATTTAGTTATTTAATTAAAATTAATTGGAAATTCTAATTTTCAGTTGAAACTTAAATTTATCAGATAAACACTTATATTTATATGAACACTACACAAAACTGCTTATTACAGCAACATTAATCACTTTAACACTATGGGCAAGTCGTTAACACTGTTGGAACACCATGAACACTATGCAACACTCTTTATCACTGTGCAACATTACAACAACACTAGTGCAACACTATGGTACAAGTCGTTAACACTGTTGGCACATTATTAAAATCGTCAGTAGTGTTGAACAGTGTTTTTCCGTAAGGGATTTCTGACAGTTAAAAGTAACTAATTTCTTTAGTCGTTTACGGCCAACAACAAAGTATTATTTGAATTAAATGCATATACCTCTCCATGGTTAAATGACCCATAAAACAAATAAAGATGGAAAAAGTTTAGCTCAAAATAGCAAGACAAATAATATATTAAACTTTAAAATATTATGAACCATATTTATTGACAAATAAAATTAATTTTTTTAAGAGTGGCTGACAGCCGAATGCGTTAAGACGTTAGCTTGACAAACTTGTCAAGTGACAGACCTGAGTTCAATCCCAGGCTGGGTCAAAACTTCTTTTAAATTTAAATTTACTAATTTGACTATTTCATTCAGTGGAATTTGACTAATTATTAGTGACTGCTTTTTCACAATGACAATTAGTCAAATATGACTTATAATTAGTTATTTTTGACTAATTCATTTTAAGAGAGTACTTTCACTGCAATGCGGTACGGGTTAATATTAAGTTAGGGGCTACGAAAGGATTGTTACGTTTATTTAATTGGACACCATACACCGCAAATTATTGGCAGTAAATTACCCTTCAATAAGCAAGCATTACTGGTGCTATTTTACAACCTGCGTGAAGTAAAGCTTAGTTTACGTGAAAGTGCCACTTTGACTATTAAAGAAGTTTCTGTTTTTTGGGATAAGTCTGGCATTCCGACAAGTAAAAACTACCATTGTATCGAGAAGCTTGAGAAGCTGTATGAAAAGTGGAGGGCACTACAAAAGTCAGCTAAAAGGCCTGGTTCAAAAGAAAAAGAAGAAATTTTTGTAGAAAGACTTGATGACTTATTTGATATATCACATGCAAATGCTTTGGAGTTAATGAAAATAGATGAGAATAAACAGTTTTTAATTAATCAAAGAAAAAAAGGGCGTCCTGGCTATATCCATGGGTTTGATTACCACCTTGCTTCCCAAGAGAAAGCCGATATGGAAATATCTGAAAAATTATCCAAGCGACTGCAGCCAAGTGTTCAAGAACAATTCAGATTAATGGAAACAGTTACCTTTTCTTCTTCATCGTCAGACGTTAGTCCAGTCGAGCCCGGTAGCAGCGAAGACGAAACCTTTAAATTCCAAGAAAAAGTCTTGCAAGAAGATCCTGGTCCCTCACAACAACAAATGTATATATATGAAGGACGTAACATTATTACTCAAAAAATTGTAGCTGCATTTGATGCCTGCAAAATTAGCGACCGATACGGAGTCCATATTTTGGCAGCCGTAGCAGAAGCATTAGGATATAACGTTGCTAATTTGTCTATAAGCAGATCCACATTACGCCGATGCAGGCAACAAATGCGCGAAGAGAGATTTTTAAGTTTAAAAACAGCTTTTGGAAATTATGAGTTGTTGGCACCAGTAGTCCATTGGGATGGAAAGCTTTTACCCTCCTTAACTGGCGCAGAAAGGGTCAATAGGCTTGCTGTCTTAATTACCAGTGGAGATATTGAGCAATTGCTTGCAGTTCCCGCTTTGCCAAATTCAACAGGAAAAGAACAAGCCGCTGCAGTGTACGGCGCGCTTTTCAAGTGGAATTTGGAAAGTAAAGTAATAGCTTTCTGTTGTGACACAACAGCTTCCAACATGGGTTATATAAATGGGGCGGCCATAATTTTGCAACAAATGTTAGAACGTGATATTTTGTATTTTCCATGTAGGCACCATATCTTTGAAATTGAAAAGTGTGTTCGATATAAAAATGCCTTCTTCATCTGGTCCAAACGTAGCCTTATTTAAACGTTTTGAAGAATTTTGGCCTAAAATAAATCAAAATAAAATAAAGACTGGATTACAGGTAGAAAAAATTAAACAAATTTTAGAGCCGGTTAAACTTGAGATTGCAAATTTTATAAATTTATGTTTGACAATTCAACAACCACGCGATGATTATAAAGAATTTTTATTGCTTTCTAAACTTTTCATTGAAGAACAACCTACGGTAGGTACTAATCTTAATTTTTATCGTCCAGGTGCATTTCATCATGCCCGTTGGATGTCAAAGGCCATTTACTGTCTTAAAATATTTTTGTTTCAAGATCAATTTAAATTAACGCAACAAGAAAATACAGGTATTGCAGATATATGCCTTTTTATTGTTAAAGTTTATGTAAAAGCTTGGTTTAAAGCGCCATATGCGATCAAAGCACCATTACTGGATTTACAGCTTTGTAAAGAAATCGATGAATATAAAAATATTGACAAAAAAATATCTCAAGTAATAAGTAAAAAAATAATAAACCATTTGTGGTATTTAAATCCAGTCAATGTTTCCTTATCGTTTTTTGATGACGAAATTTCGATTATTGCAAAAAAAGCTATGGTTAAAGCTTTAAAGAAAATAAAACCAAATGAAGAAGGCATTATACGGTTGATGATAAATGATATTAATGACATTAAACACAAGGAAATTGAGGACTTTATAAGCGATAGAAGTAAAGAATTTTTTGATAAGTTAAGCTTGCCTACAGACTTTTTCTCTTCATTAGGTCTTTCCCAATATCCCCCGGCAAAATCAGGGCTAACGCGGATCTGTGATTGTTAAAAGTGCCATACACCTGTTTTTCCGAATTCAAAAATTTTGAAGAAAACAAATAACATTGTGGATACTAGCATTGTAAGGATCTAGGTCCTCCGTTTTGCAGAAGTCCCACCAGCGTGAAAAAGTGTTGCTGTATTGTTTGATAGTACTTTCTGACAGAGAACTTATTGTAGTTTCCACTGCTTCCTTGGGCAGACGTTTATTTAGAAGTGCTTGGCCGATAACTTGGCGACAGCCAGTTTAGTCGATATTGTACTGTAAGAAAGATTTATTGTGTTAGTAACTGAATTAAAAAGTAAGGGATCGGATATGGTCAGATCCTTAATGAGTGGAAACCATGGCTGTGTTGGCCATAAAGGATATACAACGATACCTTCTGCTTTATCAAGAATTATTTTATTTAAAACTCTCAAAACTAAATTAAAAGGGGGGAAAGCATAAAAATTTAAATTTGACTAATTGACGGTGAAAGCATCAACCGCTACTGAGTTTGGATCCCTTATCCAAGAAACATATGATAAACACTTGTGATTTTCTTTGGATGCAAAGAGGTCAACAGACGGCTGTCCAAAAAAGGAACATATCTTTAAAAAGCATTCCTCTGTTAATTCCATTTCTGTTTCAGGTTTAAGGACTCTGCTTTATTATTTTTAGAATTGATGTACGTTGCATGCAACCAGATGTTTCTCTTTTCACACCATTGCCAGATATCTTTGGCTAAGCTGAAAAGTTCAATATGTTGAACGCTACCCATACGATTAATGTATGAGATAGCTGTGGTGTTATCAACTTTAAGTAAAATAGATACGTCTTTAGTATCCTTGGCAAAACATTTAATTACATAGAAAATAGGCTTCAATTCTAAAAAATTTATATGTTTATTCCAATCATCTTTTCCCCACCATCCGTAGCAAACCTCTCCCTTGAAGTATCCTCCCCATCCTGAAGAACTGCTATCAGTATAAAATTCAAAGTAATAACTATCCTAAAAGATGTCATTCTTGCTTTTAAGAATGTTATTTTCCCACCATAAAATATCGTTGATTATCCCATCTCTAATTGTCATAACCCTGTTATAATTATTATTTTGATTTAGAGCTAACCATTTCTCTCTTTCTTAATTTTTTGTATACATTTTTGAGTATTTTAATGCAGGACAAGCTGATATTAGAAGACCGATAAATTCAGCAAAAAAAACGAATTTTGCATTTTTTAAGGGATTTAATTTTTTGAATGGCTCTCAGAATATTGCGCCTTTTTTCTTCAGTGAGCTCAATGGTCATATTAGTAGAATTAAAGATGAAACCCAAAAATAAACATTTCTGACTTGGGTTTAGAATACTTTTGTTTTGGTTAATAATAAAGCCCAATTTTTCCAAAAATTTGACCACCAGTTTTGTAAATAATTTACACTGAGAAATGGAATTGGCAATAATCAAAAAATATGTACACGACACAAAAACGCATTGCGATTCTATAATCCTCCTTTTTGAAATGAACCGAACAAAAGTTTTTTAGGTTAAGAATAAATCTAAACTCGCCATTTGGCTTTTGAACGAAAAAAAAGTTTGATAAAAACTGTCCTCTACCAGGTTTACATTCTGAGATTACACCTGAGGCAACTAATTTTTGAATTTCAATGTTTGTTGCCAACTTCTCCTGAGAGGAGAGGTTAAAATTTTTTACCATCCTTGAATCTTGTTACCTTTTATGTAGCCCAAAACAGTGCTATTGGTTGTAATTTTCTCCCACTCATTAAGGAAAAAACTTAATCTGCCAGCTAAATTTACCTTTTTGTTATTAACCTTTATTTTCGACGAGGTGTCTACGTCTGTCTGTACTTCTTCAGATTCTTGCTACTGGAGGTTGGCCCCCTTGACGACCGACTCTCTGTCCGGAAGTTCTTTGGGGTTTTAAAGTTTTTTGAAGAGGTGTTTTGGAGTTTAATTTTGTTCGACGTGAATTTGGGTAAAAAAATGTCTGGCCTAGACGTTGATGCTTTTATTACCATGCTTTTTCTTTCTAAAGCCTTGGCTGCTTTTACTTTTTCTCCTAGGTTCTCCCCAAAAAGGACCTCTCCTACTGGTTGATCCTTTGAAACGGTTTTTACCTGGGATGATAGGTGAGGCATGATGACGGCTCTGCGAGAAACGGACATATTATGGTGAACATTTGCCCATGCGTCCAGCATTACTTATGTGAGTAAGAATTTCTTATCTGTGTTTAACATTGTTTATGCACGAGTCTCTTAGTAATTCATTGATTGCTTTGCCAATTGCAGTAAGACCGCATCCTAAGTCTGATTGCATTTTTCTTTGGTGTTCGTCTCGTGCTTTTAAGTAGAAAGGAACAACCGTGCTAACCGCCTCATTTAACTTTGGCCCAGATAGTGTAGGAAAATTGGAAGGAATGCGATAGTCCATTTGGAGTTGTTTAACTTCTTCCTACATTCCTTTAGCTAAAATAGACCCCCACCCTTGAGACACCACTGGATGTAAAAGGAAATCATTTGTTTTATTTTTTAGGTTAGGCTCCCCGAGAGCTCTAAGAACACTATCATTTAGAGGTTCTAACGCAATGTTTTCCTCAGGTAAATCTACATCTGAGCAATTTACACCCACACCCACCAGACACGTCTGGGACTGCTACAGGCCGAGATCCGGTCTCGAGAGTCCCTTCCTCTTCGTCTAGGATCTGAACTTCCCCTTCCACTACGAGATCGGTGTCTATCTTTAAGTGGTAGTCAGATCTACCCCTACCTTTGTGAGTTTTGACCATGACTGCGAGAATGGTAGTTCGGAGACCGGCTCCGAGAAGCAGACAAAGAGCTAGATGACGCCGAAGACCGTCTTCTACGGTGATGGCGTCTATCTCTATTTTTTTCTCATCCTTCCTTTTTCTGTGTTTCCCCATACTAAAAATAAGTCTAAAAAGCGTATCAGTATAAAATACTTACTCAGATTTAAATAAATCTTTGAAAAAACCTTAGAAATTTGTTAAACCAACGTAGAAGCATGCTTTCCGAATTGCACAAAAAATCGTAATGGCTAGAAAAGGGTCGGTAAAGTAAGACGTTTTTTGCCTACTTTAAACTGGTTTGTGCTTTTCGTCACGAGAGGGCGTTACTACCAATTTATCAAAATGACAGCGATCCATATTTTATGTCATAAAATTATTATTTTTACAAAAAAATGATTTTTTGCAAAAAACTTAAATTTTCATAAAAATAATAAGTTTTTACAATAAAATTAAACAAAACATGTCAAAGTGAAGTTTTATTTTATTTTTATTTTATGTCATAAAATTAATTTTCTTAGCAAAAAATTGTTGTGATTTTGTTTGTCACCCAATTATGGAAAGAATAAATATTATAGATCGGGAAATCATCTTCATCAAATAAAACTTTTAGTATTATTTTTGTATTATCCATAATTCAACGCAAATTTAAACAGAAAACCACGAAATTTAAACCAATAAGGATATGACACAGCACATAGATAGGTTATGTTGCCTCTTATTCACGTATGCGCCGTCAGGTTGCGCGTTTCAATTGATTGTGTCGTTCTTTTTAATGCTTACTCACATTACTACATCTCATATCACATTAACTGAAGTGACCTGAGATCTCAGGCGAAAAGAACGCACCTATTATTTCAATAGATTAATACAAATATTCATCTTTTTGTTATGTCAATGGTTTAGTATTAGTTAAACTCCCATCCGATAAAGGCGCTTACCCCGTCGCTGTAAATTAATAAAGAATATTTTTTTTTGTCGAGTGGTAATTGTCAAAATAACCTCTATAATTGTAGTATTTTATATAACAAATTGTTAGCCCTGAGGCATCAACCACCTTTAGCGTGTATCATCCCATTGCTTGCTTCATTTAATTTAGAAACGTATAGGCTAGTTTTTTCATTCTTAAAAGATCTAATTTGAATTTATGATGTGCTCTAGATTCCTACATTTTTCTGTTCTGCTTTCCTTACCTGTCAATTTTAATCCTCTCAAATCAATTCCTTCACATTATCTTGAAGTCTACATTGCCTTTGGAAGAAACTTTTGCGAAAATTGACATATTGGGGTGTAGAGATCCTGTGATACAACATCCAGGAACTTAGTTCCCATATACAAGCGTATGGTCACATGGACTAGCTTCCAAGCACCAAGGTTGAAAATACCGAATTTAGAAAGAAGAAGAAGTTGTCGAGTGGTTAATAATGCCCCGATTGTGTTTGCAATTGTTAATAATATGTTAATGTTATTCTTTCCCCTGTATATATTTTCATTCCTTCCCGCTAATCAGGTAAGAAATGTTCCATTCTCTCCCGGTACCATGACAACGCTACAGTGTGATTGACTTAGAATGTAAACGTCAGAATTAAATTAAACGTCAGATTTATATAATTTTGACACAAGTTTTTTTGTGGGTACCCAATTTGTGTAATTTTAAGCGAAAGTGAGCATTTATATAGTTTAGCTAAAATAACTTGAATTAGGTAAGCTTACTAACTTAATTGGAACGACTAGAAATTACTCCTTCAATGAATTCATCATCGGGAGTAATTGCTATGAGTAGGTATAGGCAAAGATAATACACCCCATAGATTGGAAACTCTTCCATCACTGCCCTCTAGAGCTACAATACCTGAACTATATCTATTTGTAAATTGCAGACATCTGTACAAACGCTATTTGCAAATGTCAATGTCAATCATAATTATTGATGTCGATCATAATTTTTGCGCCTTAAGTGATAAAATGTGTTATTGGTTGTGAAATGTATTGTTGTTAGGCGAAGAAATGTAACCAATTTGTAAGTATTGACTATTCTGCCGTCCTAAGCCAAAAAGACATCTCGTTATTATTAAATTATTCTCTTAGAAAAAAAGACGCATTTTAACTATACATACATTTTTAAGTACTATAGCTCCTAAAACTGTCTAATTAAATTGAACGTATCTTAGAGAAAAATAATAAAGCGCTATAATTTATAAAGTAAAAATGTGGAGTTGCGTCTTTTTGGCTAAGCACGGCAGTACCGCTCTAGCGTAAAAATACTGTTTGTTAATTATGAATTATTTAGGATTGCTTGTTTAATGGTTGTTTCAAAACCAATAGTTGGCAAAATGGATTTTTCACGGTTGGTTAGAACTTTTTCACGGTTGGTTAGAACTTGCACTCCACTAACAAAAACATGTTCGTGTATACCGATTATGTATTTAATATGTACATATAGATGTATGTATTTTATTTTATATTATATTATTAATACAATAAATAAATCTTATATTCATACTTGTTTTATTTAAAACACAGCAGTAAATACAATAATAATAATAATAATAATAATAATACCGTTTATTTGTTCAAAAAATACCATAATACAATAGTGTAGAACATGTCAAAAAAAGAGAAATTAATTAATACAAAATCATTCATAAAATAAAGTGTAAATATACATAACAACAAAAAAAAAACAATAAAGAAATTGTATTAAACAAAAACATGTGTTATTGTTTGTTTGACATTCCATAAATCAAAAGATTGAATTTGTCGGTCATTCATGAATTCTTCAGTGTGATAATAACATTTCTTCGACAATACAAGTCTCAGACGATTCTTTAATTTTTTGAGTGGAAGTTCTCTTACGATAGCAGGTAAGTGGTTATATATTTTTACTTTTTTATAACAAACATTTTTTTGTAGATAGGAAAATCGTATTAAATCTGTTGTTAGGTTTTGCTTGTATCTTGTACTATAAATATGATCTTGACTGTTAAACAAGTCCTCATTTTTTTTAATGAACATTACTGCTTCATATATGTATAGGCCAGCAAGTGTCAGGATATTATTGTTTAAAAAATAAGGCTTGAAAGATGTCATTTGAGTTAGACTGAGTATATTTCTTAAGCATCTTTTTTGAAGAACTTCAATTCTGTATAGATCAGTCGAATTGTACCAGAAAATTATTCCATATCTAAGCTTAGACTCTACATATGCATTATACATCGTAATTGCAGCTTTTTTGTTTACATGTTTTGAAATTACGCTTAGTCCGTAGATATCTTTGGCCAAGGATTTTGCTAGGTTATGTATATGTACTGACCAGTCAAGCCTATGATCAATATATACTCCTAGGAATTTGGCAGACTCCTGTGTTGATAGGATGCTATTATTTCTGGTAAGTGTTAACTTTTCGTAGTTTTTCCAAAAAGAAAAATTAATTATTTGTGTTTTGTTTACATTCAATTTTAGGCTATTGTTGGTGGACCAGTTTTCCATGTCATCAAGTGAGCTTAGTATTTTATTTTGAAGATTTTCCATTGAGCTTTCCTTTATAATAAGTGTGGTATCATCCGCATAGGATACAACAGGAACATTGATGTACTGAGGTAAGTCGTTTGCATATATAATGTATAATAGGGGGCCTAAGATTGAACCTTGAGGTACACCTTTATCAATTATTTTGAAATCGGATTTTAATTTTAAGCCTTCAGCTGATTTTCCTATTACACATTGTTTTCGGTTATTAAGATAGCTTGAGATCAGTTTTAGGGCTATTCCTCTTACTCCATAGCATTCCAGTTTCTGTAGTAGTGTTTTATGACACACACTATCAAAAGCCTTTGATAAGTCAATAAATACAAGTGATGTTTTTTCGGAATTATTGAGTGCATCTAATAATAATGTCATACTTTGAAATATGGCTCTAATAGTTGATTTACCCTGTCTGAATCCGTTTTGCGTTTTAGATAGTATTTGCTTTTGTTCAAAATATGATATTAGTCTATGATATATAATTTTTTCAAAGACTTTACTTATGTTTGATAAAAGTGCTATTGGTCTGTAGTTTCCAATATTGGTTTTGTCTCCTTTTTTATAAATTGGCAATACTTCTGCAGTTTTTAGTAAATCTGGAAAAATTCCAGAATTTAAAGATATATTTATTAGATGAGTTAATGGTGTTAGCAGTTCTAAGGCTGAATTTTTAAGTATTTTTACCGTTATGTTGTCAAAGCCAGCTGCAGTAGTATTCTTAAGATCCATTATCAAATTATACAGTGCTTGCAAATCCAAGTCCGACCGGTTTGGGAAGAACGCGTGAAAATAACAAGGATAGAACGCCAAACAGAAGGCGCTTACAATACGCACGCCTGACGCTCTGACCAATCAAATTCTGTTTGGCAT